TAACTTAGATTATTTATTTTCATTAAACTGAACATCCAAAAATGTGTAAAATAAAAAAAAAATAAATTAAAAAAAACACAAAAAATGAATTTCATCGATTCTAAACTTCAAATTTGTGGTGCATATCACACATTTTTTTTTCATATCATTCGTAAACTTCATTATTTATGACAGCGTACTATCATGTCTCTTGCACGTAATTATAGAAAAAAATATTATTATTATTAAATAGTCATCTAATTATATCAAACAAGTTCAGCAGTTTCAATAATTTAATGTCCTTTGTTCTATTTTGCTGTAATTTGGTTATATTGAAATAAACGATCTTCATTTGTATTAGATTTATCAAAATTCAATTATTAAAAGATTATTGATAAATTAAAAATCAGGCTTTTTGACGTGATAGACAACTGATTTTTCAATAAAAATGGAACTCGTAAATTTACTTACCTTTTCATTGGTCATTTGCAAAATTATTTTGATAACAAACATTCTGATTGTACACACAAGTATTTTAATGTTGATAAAGAAAAGATGCACAAGTTTCTGATTGACGATTAATAATCTTTGTAGTTTCTGGAGATCCGGTCTTCCAACAATCTCTCGGAATTCCGTTGAGTAATAATTTCGTCCCGTTATTAGCAGACCTATTTTTGCATTCATATGAAGCAGAATTTATTCAAAAACTTTTATTGAAAGGCTACTGACAGATAAGTTGATGTTACAGGGATTTCAAAAACCTTATTTAAAGCCTTATTTCGTAAAATCTATGGTCGTTATTATGACCTTGTTAGTAAACATATCCACCCCTACTAATGTGTTCGGAACATTTTATTTTTCGGTGCTCTGCAAATTATAAAATCCGAGGAGTTCCCAGTAGCTCTCACAGTAGTTCTGGCGAGATCTAGAGAGAATTCAACGAGATAAGGTAAATTATTCAAGGAAATGTGGCAGTAATTAGCACGTGGAGACGTTGTAAACAGAAAAATTATCTTGTGTTTCATTTTTCATCACTGAATAATATCTGTAAAAATGTACTTCAATCTCTCTTGAATTCATTCAAACGTCAATAAGTATTCTTCATGACATTATTTTCTGCACTTACGCAGGTTTAATAAGGCAGTACCCAGATCATTTTTCGGCGAATTTAGACTTTTTCCGTAAAATGTAACATTGATAAATCGGAAAAGCCATTGATTTACTATTATTATCCATTGTATAAACGTCATTGAGTCTTAGGCTAAAAGAAGGACTCCACTAGGACGTCATCACTTGATGTCTATAAATAAAAAAAATCTGCCTTAACGAAAAAGAGAAGAAAGGTTCAACACTACTCCGGGGATACTTTTTTTTGTGAAAATAATTTTAAAAAAATCATCACTGGGCCATGAAAAGTGCTGCTAGAATATTCCAAAGTTCGCATGAAACCTTACCAAAATTTTCACATTTTGTACATATTATCAAGGAATTGTCATCAATTCATATTAACCACACGATTCTAGCAGCACTTTCCAAGTAATATAGAATACAAGCTTTCGATACAAACAAAATTTATGTTTCAAAGTATGCGGCGTAGTGTTGAACTTTTGAATCTTTGTTGTTAGAACGACAGAGGAAAACCTGATCTTGATTTCAAAACACTGCCTGTGTTCATTATAAGAAAATATAAGTATAAATCAGCGTATCTGATTTTTAATCTTTAATTCCTTATGAATCACACATGAAATTCACGGTATATGCTTTAAAACTCCCATTTCATATATTTGGTAACATGAATTCTCGTCACGTTTCATTTTTACTCGGCAAATATTTGATCAATAGTTATGACGTCATGGGTTTGGTATTTAACCCCCGTGACAAATACTAAGCTATATTAACCACCCCAAAACGATAAGATTTAGTATATATTATGTTTTTGAATGATTCCATTCACTTCTTGGACCTGAAATTTAAATATAGATATTAAGAAATCATTATATCTAAAGTTCACGTCATACAGCTTAGTATGACGTCATACTGTATAGGCAAGCAGGATATGTAGCCTTAACATACCGGCGTATGTATTAAAATTTATTTTTTGGACAAACAGGCTTGCATTGGAACTGGGACTATATCTTTTGGCGTTAAATTAGCAAATGAGCTACCAGTATGAGTTGAGTTGCATTGTGGGTTACGACGGATACTACAGGAATTTTACGTTAAAAAAAACAAGGCTATCGGAAAGGTACATACAAATTTTTTTCCCATGCATTTGCATGCATTTCCATGCTGTCCATTTTTATTCTATTATTTCCATGGTCACATTTACAAATTAATAAATAAATAAATAAATATAGGATCTCCCATGATTTGTAGTTGGATATGATTTTTATCCAACGAGTTGTGTGTTTTTTATCCCCGAGCCTTGGCGAGGTGATAAAAAACACACAACGAGTTGGATAAAAGTCATATCCAACTGCAAATCATAGGAGATTCTTTTTATCCCATGTTTAATACTTCACAACCAATGTTTTACACTGTTTTATATAGGACTCCACTTTATTTTACTTCATCACGCTAACGCAAAAACCATTGTGACGTCACAACTGTGGGTTATGAAAAAAATATCCGATAAGTCATATCCACGGGATAAAGGGGTAAACATGGGATAAACTTGGATATCTAGGTTTCTCAAAGTCATACTGTAAGGCGATTTTCGTCTGCATGTTCAATCTGTGAATACAGTTGTCAGGTGGGTTCCCTGACCAAAAAGCGCAGGTGATCATGGGTATTGTAATATGAAAAAAATTGTTGTTCATTTAACTGTTTCAATGCCTAAGGGATGGTGCTCGTTTTCCTTAACATTGAAGCGCTAGTGTTCTGAACGTGGCACAGACTAGAATTTTCATATGCATTTTCTAGTTAACAACGTAACAACAAATTACGAACGCCCGTGGCATCTTTCATATTTTCTCCTCTTTGTATTTTCTCATAAAAACATTTTTTTAAATTTTTTTTTGGCAAACCATTTAATATCGATCGTAGATTGAATTGAACCACGTGTTCGAAGTAAAAAAAAATTAAACATATAGGTGTCAAGTTAACTTTGCTATTCATTTAATGATTGATCAATTGTTGGTGGTAAGATACACTGTGCGCATAAATAACAATAGAGATATAAGGTAAACAAAGGTTTGTCATATACATTTTTTCTACCAGTATATCGGGCGAAAAATTAACACTACTAAGCTCCAATTTTTGCCGTAAATTATCACAAAAGCGAAGATTAATTAGGTAGATTGTGATTTTTTTTAAAATCCCACCCATTTCTGTTCAAAGTCTTGAAAATCCTTCAGAAAGGTCTGAATACACATTTTTATAGTACAAGTTTTTAAAAGAAACAGATTATAGTAATGTCCTGTTTTATAAAACCGGTTCTACCCTATAATCTTTGAATGGGTCAACCTACATCACGTGCCTTGATGTTGAATCAAAAACATTGGTAGGGGTGATATCTGTCATTGGGTCGTATTTTTGCTGACTTGTTTCATACCAATTGCTAGGCATTTGTTTTCATTCTGAAATTGACTACTGAATGTTCCGTTTACCTAATCAATACATAGGGCTCAAGGCGGGTTTGGACGGTTAACAGGAGATGCTTACTTTTCCTAGGCACCTGATCCAACCTCTGGAATTTCCAGGAGTCTGTATTATATGCCCTCTTCACAGATTTGTATTCTTTTTTTTATTTTTTTTGTGATTGATCACTATTCGTTATCTTTACATTTTTCATGCTTATGTAAGGGATCTTGAGTGATATCAATATCGCTATTTCAGACATCCAAAATTAATGCAGCATTAAGACATAATGGTTCTTTCTATAACTGTCAAAAAAACCTATCAAAACACGTTTGATATTTTTTTTACAACCAACCACTTTAGTTTCATGTAATTGAAGGTTTATTTTAGATTGATTCGCTACAAAGTGTGGTTATCAAATATTAATGTCAGGGATTTTAGAAGCCCTGGTAGAAAGAAACTTTGTTATCACATTCAAAATCTTTATAACAATCTCTTCTTCTCGACCTTCTTATTTGGATTCTTTTTTATCGAATCTTTAGTTTTCCATGCAAAATTTTAAAATGTATCTGTTCTCTTATTCTTTGGAGTGTTATGGAAATTACATGCTATATAAGTACTGTAATTCTGTTATGAAAATGTTATTTACCCTGTTTTCACTTGCCAATTTTCTCTATTCTTAGCCTTGCAAAAAACATTTTAATTATTTTCACCCAAATTTTGATCCTCACTGGCTTTTTTATTATGTCCCATTTATAATCTTAGATTTTTTTCACATGGTCGCTGGTTACTTTTTTTCTACACACATACACGTATCTTTAAAAGACTCAAGAAGAATATTTAAATTTGTGCATTTTTTATAAAGCAAAATTAGGTTAATAATATATAAAACCTATCACATATATTACTAAAGATATGTTTTGAATATAAAACATTTTCATTTTACACATACTCATAATATAGATAGTTAATACATGGAGTAATATATAGTTTGTGGTTCAAAAATGACAAACAAGGTAGCTTTTAGGAGTTATTTGTTTGAATTGTCGACGGATTTTTCCGTTATTTCCCGATCATGACAAGGAGCACACGGCGGGTGAGACCGATCGGCAGGGGATGCTTACTCCTCCATGGCACCTGATCCCACCTCCGATGTTTTGGAGGTCTGGGTTTGCTCTGCTTCTATTTTGTATTGTTTAATGGACTTGTGAGCTTGAATACTGTTTGTTATCTCCATATATTTCTTTTAAAACATTTTCACACATACATTGACAAGAAATTATACTTGTAAGCAAAAATTATTTTCTTCCAGTAATGGATAGAAATGTTCTTTCCAATTTTTTTTATTAAATTAAATATATTTCTAACATATATAGGTCGATATGTAAACAATCTTTAAGCAAATAAAGATAAAAATATTTCATGTATATGTAGACAGCACAGAATACATATTAAGGGTTCGGTGAACACTATAAGTAATGGATTTATTATATATATGATGATAAGAGAAAACCGGAGAAAGTGGTAATAGGACCATCAGTATAATAACCTGTACCAGAGTAATGTCTGACCCACACTGCGTCTCCTTTCTGAATTGTAAGCACCACCATATTGGGACCCGCCTCATAATTATCACTGTAGGCCATAGTTCTAACTTTTGTTGATCCATTCAATACAATGTCTACATACATTGTTTGTGAACTATAACTTTGAACATTCACAAAGAAGACGTACGTTCCGCCAATAGGAGCAGTAAATATTCCGTTACTCGGGTTGTATCCATTTTCTTCATTAGTGATAACAGAAGGAAAAACAAGCGTTCCACCGCTCCAAGAAGTATCAGAAGACGTCATTGTGGCAGAAAAAACTACCTTCTTTCCTACAAATGTCATTTTCAAAAGTTTAAGATTTAAAATCCAACATATTGAAATATTGAAATAAAAAAGAGTATTCTCTGGAATATATATATATATATATATATATATATATATATATATATATATATATATATATATATATATATATATATATATATATATATATATATATATATACTTGATTATTTATAACCAATGTTAAAATGTTATTGTCATCTCCCTCGGGAGATGACACATTAAGTTCGTTTTCCGGAAGTGAAGTCCTAGTGTAAGCTGCCATTGCATCGATAAGCTGGTGGTCTGGCAAATGACCTGACGATGACACGATTTCTAAATATAGAGATGTAAACAAAACTGAGCGTTCTGCCTTATTATTACAAAATGGTCCATCTTAAAGTAAAACTACACAGGGTTCATTAGGATAATAGAGGTTAGACTGCTGGGGTGGTGGTCTTCAAAATACACATAAACATTGTATCTAGGTTATTGCGTAAAAAGTTTTCCTATTTCCCTTGGACCATCAAAGAATGGAATGATAGTCTCGGCGAATACACCTGACACCTTTAGGTCTCAGGTGATCATCTTCTAACCATAAGTAAGAAATATTATTAATATTAACCTTTCAAAGTTTTAATTTTTGGTCATATCATGCGCACCAAATTTGCCATAATAATCAGCTTGTTGATTGTGGGCAATACTTGGCAGAAGCAGAAACGATGGTCAGCGCGCGGGGATCAAAATACACAAAACGTGGCATATTGAATGTATAAGCCAAGGCGTGGATCCAAGATTTACTGACGAAAGAAAACAGTGAAAACATTCACGTTAAATGCGTATATGTAATGGCAAATACTTAACTTTTATATGTACTTACTGCCGTATATGAAAAATAAAACAGAACTTATTCAAAAAAATAAATTTCGAAGAAAAGAAATTTTACCTAAAAGCACAATTTAAGCAGAAACATAAATTAATGTCTCTGATTTAAGTAGCTCAGTGCTGCAGGCATTGGAATAAAAATAGTAAAGAATCATTTGAGTATTTTCTCGGATATCTTCACTATTCTTTTTTTCTTTAAAATTACTCCTGCGGAAAAGTTTTAGGAAAAACACAATTTTCTTGACATGGCTCAGGTTTTTTAAGGATTAATAAATAAAGCAACTTATCAATTTAATTCTTTATGCAATTCTAATTTGCATTTTTTTGTTAATGGAAAAAAGTTAAAAAAAAAAAAAATCACTCCTCGTATTCTTGAAATAAAGCCAAAATTATAAAATGTGTCTCGTGAAACAGCGTATAAAATCGATGTTGGTAGATTGAGGTTCTTTTCAGTGTGCCAATACTTAATTTTAAATGGTAACTTTTCAATTTTATAACCTTTCTATGCATGCTATTTTCCCACAAGCGTATACGTGTACATGTACTTATATTATATAAACACAATATAGCGTTAACACATGAATCTGCATATTGGCAGCAGAAGGATATGATGCAGGAGTGTCTCAATGTTTTCCTTGATATTCCCAGTGGTTCGATAGCCAAGTCACTTCAGAGGATACGTTTAAAATAAGGAAAATCTTTGGAAATTATAAGTGAGGTTCGGATTAATTTAAGTTAGCGCTTTAAAACTGCTTTGCTGTTGTAGTAGGCGACTACAAACTAAAGTCAAAAGAAACGCTAAGGTTTTATCCATCTTCATACGGAACAATTGTTTTATATCTAATTTTTACGAATATTACTCAGTGGTTAGATTTTTTTTACAGACATTGTACAAAAAATATTCAAAATGAATAAAGCATATTTACAACAAGTAAAATAATATAGGCATGTAGCAACAGGAGGGTCGTCCCCCTTCCATGTTTTTCCCAAACTTTAAAAATATTCATTCAAAGGCGCGTCCTTGCCCCATCTTCCATCTTTTGTTGCAGTATGGTACGTCAAATCATCCCATGGGAATGTACTATAATATAAAATATGTTTGTTGGAAAAGTTTTAATCCTCCCTTTCAAGAAATGAAAATGTGGAGTTTGGACAGCCCCTTTTTCCCCTTGTCAAAGATTGTTCAGATAAGTCGTCGATTCCCCCCCCCTTTTTTTTTCAAAAGCGATACTACTGCATGTAATAGCTGAAAAAATAATGTAACATTCCACTGTTTATTCTGTGACATTCATGAAGCCAAAGAGATGACATTTATGGCTTTCTGGAAAGCCAAACTTGTTACATGGTTAATTCGATTTAGACATGTCCCATGCGCTCTGAATGGTTCAGATTTTCGTACTAATGAGATGTAAATTTCCTAATGTATATAGTCTGCTAAAAATAGTTTTAATCTCAAATCCTGAATATATATTTTTAAACTCATCTCTCATATTATGTTTCTTTTAATTCTGTTACCAAATATGTTGTTCGTCAAATTCATTCGGAACACCTCGAGAGACGACACTGTGGAAGACAGCTGCAGTTGGTCATACTTAGATTGCTTCACTTCCGCCATCAGCTCGTCTAATGTTTTATTGATGTCGACTAAAATACAAATATGTTAAACTGTTGAACGTAAATAAAAAGCAATCTGAAGGAATTGGGTCCTTAAGTTGTGCTTTCTCGATCCCATCAAATTCGAGATAACGAGATTATATATTTATATATAAAATGGAACTTTTTATTGATAAAATATACATGAGATTAATATTTACAATGATTACATTAGTGTTACGTTTATTACACAGCTTTACATTACAAGCAACAACAGACAGTACCTTGAATTCCTTCAAGGAACAACATAAAGTTTATCGGTAAAGTTCTATGATTTTTTTATGTTTTATTTGCACCCATATTCGTGTTTTAAATGTACTACCGGTATATTGCAACCAGATTCTTGGATATTTTTTTTCATGACGCATGAAATTTTCCTTAAGAAAATTTATTCAAAGTAAAAAGAAGAAAAAAAGAAAGAAAGAAACTTACCGGATATAGTAGTTTGGATAGAACTTCGAAAGTTTTCGAGATCAGACATTGATTTTACCATTGTTTTATTTGTTGTCATTATATCATTACTCAGGTTCTCCACGGAAGTGTTCAATCTTAAAGATAATTGTTCATATTTTTCCTGTATCATTACAGGAATGCTTTCGTCTATTTTCGAAGTGTGTTTATTCAAGTCTAGAAGAGTGACTGACAGGTAACGAACTTCTACTTTAAGATCCGCCAGTAACGCACTAGTGTTTGTCTCAAAATGCTGTCTTTTCTCGTCCAATTGTTCTACTGCCTGTTGAATGTGTTCATCAATTTTGGTAAAATTTTCTGCAACAGCTTGGAAGTTTTCCTCATAATGTCTGTTTTCAAGTTCAAGTCTTTGGTTCTTTCTTTTCAGTTTATCAACCTCCTCTTTTAAAGCGTTAATTTCTAAGTCTGTATTTTGCTGTGAAGATTTTAGTGTCTCCATACTTCCTTTTAGATCGAGCATGTCCTTCATTAATGCGTGTACGTTCTTTACCAGGGACATTCTAATGATTGTTTCTTGGTTCAGTAATTGCCGGAAAACGTCCATATTTTTAGCGTCCAGATCACTGGTGTCCAGTAGATTTGTACTGTTGTCGCTGTTATCCGTGAGAACAGAGAATCCAAAGGATCCTATTAGAAAAGTAAACATTAAGGGGTACACCAGCTTTTGATTCATCTTGAAAATCAAAAATGGAATAAATATATGAGCAACTCTAGCTTTATAAATATTCTTATATGAAATTTTACCTTTTCTGCTGCATTACATGCGCAGGATCATAGTTCCTTACACATGTTATATGACTGAGGCAAAATAGCCAATCAGTGTTTTGGTTGTTTTGATACTAGTTACATTCGTAATGTTTGAGCTAACAGTCATATTTTCCCCAAGAGTGAAATCAAATAAAAATGAAGTACTGTTATATAAGTTTATGTCAATATAATAGTATATACGATATTTTTTTTTACTTTCTTTACTCGTGTTAGTTTTTTTTTTTTTTTTTTACTTTCTTTTATTTTTGAGGTAAGAATTTGGAACAAACATAATTCAAGCTTTGAATAATTTTAAGAGTGAACATCTAATATGTTTCTTATTGATCTTACAATTATCATCACATTTTATATAAACTGATAGATATCTTTCTATTTATACACAACACAAATAGCTTATGTGTCATCAGAGATATTTTTTACTTTTTTAGAAGTAGATTTAGATGAATTATATATATAAACATATTCGCACATTTGATGCAGTGACGAGAACGTTTGCTCTAGAGTCGCGGAGTACGGAGTTGATTCAGAATTATCTTCTGACACAAATGGCACTGGCTTAAAGAGCCTGAGCTGGACAATATCTATTATCACAAACAGTTTGTATTCCGCAGTTGAAGTTAATTTAAGTCAATGTTTTTTTGAAATCATTGACAGTTTCTTTCTCTTTAAAAATGGAACTCATAAATTTACCTATTTTGCCATTGGTAATATGAAAAATTATTTTCTTAAAAGAAGTCTGATTGTACACATAAGTACTCCGAAGTCGATATTAAAAACATGCTTGAATTTCTTGTTGACAATTTATCTATTTAGCTTCTGAAGCTCAAGTCTTCCAACAATCTGTCGAAATTCATCGTTATCAATTGCGACCCCTTATTAGCAGACTCCTTTTATTTTCATATGAACAGAATTTATTAAAAAACTTATACATTAGAAGAAGAAAACATTTGTTTCCTAGTACGCTGATTCGATATACATGTAACCCTTTGAACTCGAAAGAATCTGACAGATATGTTTCTTTTTTGGACTACAAATTTTACTGCAAAAAACTTTGATGGAAACCTAAGAACAAAACTTTTTGATAAACGTGATGACTTCAACTTTTCTATCGTCAACTTCCCTTATTTATGTAGCAATATATCATTAACTTCAGAGTTTAAGTCTCCCATTTGATTCGGTACGCAAGAGCATGCTATTAGTACAAACAATTTCTAAAACGAGTTAAGCTTGAAAACGTGAATAACAAGTCAACAGACTCATTTAAAGTCACCATTTCGCAAATTTTATAGCGGCTCCGACCAGCAAAGTCAGTTTAAGGTGAATGTTGACCTGATTTTTGTCCATTTTGAGTTTCTTATTTCCAGTTTTTAAAATAAATAACATTAAATCAATTCCGTCTGTAAAATAAATATTCAGAATACAGCTATATTTCAATAAATATCACATGTGCAAATGATAAGAAAACACAATTAGTGACAATCTTCATCTTTCGATAGGACATTGAAAAAAGATCAGTAATTTTCAAGTAAGACCATTTATCAAAGTTTCCTATAATGTTTTGATTGTATATTTAAAAGAACAACAATATAAAAAAATGTTTACACAAAAAAACAAAAAACAAAAGAAGCTTTATGGGCAATTAATAATTGTAGACGATTTCCCTAAATTTATAGATCTCGGTACATGTAACAGCAACTTTAAATCATTAAAAAATTAACAATTTTCATAATAGACTCTACGACCAATCAAAACTCATTCCATAAAATAATACATATAATAAAACTATTGTGCTTGAATTTGGCCGAAAATAAGAAAAAAAATTGATCTGGAAGACGCCATGCAAGCCATTGGCTAAAAGATTCACCTAAGTCATATTGGCTCTGCTGATAAAGAGAAAATTTTTAATTCTCCTGAATATGCCCAATTAAATAAGCTGACTATATATTGTGGCCCCACCCCACCCAGTGGGGCAATGACTTAAACAAACTTAAATCTGCACTAGTCTACATGAGGATGCTTGCATATTAATTTGATTTATCATCCTCGGGTAAATCTTGACAAAAACTTTCTATTAATTCTTTTCTTATTTATTCCAAAATTAACAGTTTAAAGTCCTTCCGGCATATGGGGACCTGATTCAAATCTCTTGATCTTCACTTAATGATTCTCCATATTAATACGATATTAGATTCCTTCTGTTGTTGACAAAAAGGTTTTAATTTTTTTCTTTTATATATATATATATATATATATATATATATATATATATATATATATATATATATATATATATATATATATATATATATATATATATATATATATATATTCCTTAGTAAAAAAAGAGTCTCTTATTGTGACCCCATCTCAGTCCCAGGGGTCATGATTTGAATAAATTTGATTCTGCATTACTTCAGGGTCCTTACATATTACTGTCATTAATAATAGCTCCGCTGTTCTTGAGGTAGCAATTTTTAAATATTTTTTGCTATGAAATCCAGGGGTAAAATATATATTCTCTTTTATGGCTCAGTCCTTCCCATAGTGGTCCTGATTTGAACAAATGTGATCCTGATATTATATGTGTTACATTTAAGGTTTGCAATTAAGAAATTCAAAACTATCTAGAACAGTTAAGAATTTCTCAAACACATGCATATTAATAATCATGCCCCCGCTTTTGTTTACAAAAAAACCTTAATTTCCAGTTGTTGACCCACCCTACCCCAGGGAAAGCGATTCGAATTAATATGAGTACCTGGTATATACAACTAATCATGGCCTCCATATTCTTTAGAAGATTTTCTTATATATTCCAATATAAAACTTTGAGGCCACACTCTATATCCGGGGGCCATAATTAGATTCAAATTGAATCTATGAATCTACACCATGTCAGAAAGCTATCTTTTAAGTTTCGTCTTTTCTGACCCCGTGGTTCTTTAGAAGAAGACTTTAAAAGATTTCATCAATTTTTTTTTTACGAATTCTTCTATATCTCCCCTTGAATGAGGACGCGGTCCTTCAAGCAAACAAATTTGAATCCTTTTTACCCAAGAATACTTTGTGACAAGTTTGATTGAAATTGGTCTGGTGGTACTAAGGAAGAAGACGAAAAGGTGAAAGTTTACAGACAACTCACGACAGACGACAGACAAGGGGGAATAAATGCCTGGGCTTTCCTTTGAAATATATTTTGAATTATACTGTGTACATTTCATATATACATATCGATGGGATTGCCCATTATTCATTCTCATGAAAAAAACAACAAATACAAACCAATCAAAGAATGTTTTCTAAAAATATAGACTATAAATCGAAAAATTTTAGATATGATCAACAAAAGGGAGTGAGATGCTACACATACTTTAGAAGCTTAAAGATACAAATATGTTTTTAAAGCACTTTAATTTTTTTTCTGATTTTTATTAAACTGTTATTTAATTTTCAAGAAAATATATTCTGTAGATTGAAAGTTTCTTTGTACGCATATTCAGTCAAGATCTACCTCAAGTTGAGATTTAAAATGCTTACGATTGTGGAACTCCATTTCAATGCTACTTAGATAAATTTATAAATTATACTTTTTTATGAATTTATATGAATTACATTGCTGTTATAAATCTCTTTTATCTTAAAAGCGAATATTTATATATATTTATTTACACATGCATTTATTTTATTTTTTACAATACAATCGAATGAACTGGACAAACAGTTATATTTGTATTAAAGGGGAAAATAAATCA